CAGATTTCGAGCAGCTCTATTAAAGCTAAAAGAACTAAACAGAGGTTTCAGGGTCTCCCATGGCAGGGGAGACAGAGTTTTGAGTCTGAGTCCAGCCAAGTTAAGTGCTTATTAAACAAAAACGTCAACACTCTTCAAAGGAATGTAACAGAATGTAGGGTCTCAGTAACACATCATTCACAATGTCTAGGGTACAGCTCAAAGTTACTAAATGCATTTTTTTAAAAGGCAGAAGGAAATCGTGACCTTTACTCAAGAGAAAAGGTAGCAGAGGAGGCTGAGTCCACGGTGACAGCTCACGTTGGCGTCATCAGACAAGGATATAGAGCTGAGCTCGACGACGTGGAGGAAAGCTTGCTCAGTGAAAAGTAGGAACACTCAGGAGAGAACAGAATCTATCAACAAAGAATACAACATCTGAAATAAAGAATTAACCGGGTGGGATTATGAGCAGGTTGGAGATGACAGAAAAGCCCATGGGCTTAAAGATTAATCTACAGAAATGATCTAATATGAAGAACAGAAAAAAGGTTGAAAAAAGAAATGAACAGAACCTCAGGAGACAGAGGCACAATATCAAAAGGTCAACTAGGCGTAGTTAGAGCCTCAAAAGAGAGGAAGTAGAGAATTGGGCATAAAAGACTTTGAAGCCAGTCATAATGGAATATTTCCTCCATTTGGGGAAAGACACAAATGTACGGATTCACAAAGTTGAATGAACACCAAGCAGCAAGAGTTAAGAAATCCTAATCTGGGGGCCGGCCCGGTGGGCACTGCTACAGTGCGCCGCTTGGGAAGCGCGGCGGCCCTCCCGCCGAGGGTTCGGATCCCACATACAGACCGGCCGCTCACTGGCTGAGCGAGGTGCGGGAGCGACGCCGAGGGTTGTGATCTCGTTGTCGGTCCCGGTCCTGTACGGGCGCGACACTGAGGGTTGCGATCCGTTGCCGGTCATGAAAAAAAAAGACAAAAAAGGAAAAAAAAAAAAAAAAGAAATCCTAATCTGGGCTCATCGTAGTCAAACTGCTGAAAACCAACAGTAAAGAGGAAATCTCCAAAGCAACCAGAGGAAAAGAAAGACATATTACATACAGGGAGACAGTCCCATCAACTGCTGCGGTCACCTTTTCTAAACTGGAGTCCAGAAGACAGTGGACTCACATCCTCAAAGTTCTGGGGGTGGAGGAACTAACCTAGAATGCTATATCCAGCAAAAATATTCTTCAAGAGTAAAAGTGCTATAAAGAGATTTCAGATAAAACCCACAAGCATTTGTCATCAGATCTGCTCTATGAGAAATGCTGAAGAAGCTAACAGTCCTCCCAGCCCTCCTGTGCTTGTCTGTCCCCTGTCCCGTGCTGCTGTCCCCGTGGTACGTGTCCACCTGCAGGCTTGGTTTGTCCCATAGGGGTTTTGCTGATGCCTGTCTTCCCCCAGGACTGGAAGCCACCTGGGACTAGAACGAGGGCCACCTGATCTGCAGCCATTACCCCAGGGCGGGGCTCGGCAGGTCACACGTTGTGCACGTAATGTGCTTGCACCTGGATCTACAATGAGCCTGCTTGCCGCAACCATTGCCAAATGATGAGATGCCAGAAGGGGCGTGTGCGTGTGGCCAGGGGTGGGCAGAGGAGGGGGAAGCCATGTGTTCCATTAGATGCACACTTTCATCTCTCCAGGAGAGGCTTGATTTGCAGAGGACCTGGCATCTCAGAAGGGGTTTGGTAACTTGGGGCAAACTTCAGGGTCTGGCAGATGAGGGTACTCCAGGGATGAGGATTTGGGCCGACGGGCAGAGTGGCCATAGCCAAGGACTGGACTGGAGGTCGGTTAACAGAGGCCAGGGGGCAGCAAGGACTAGGGGGCTGAGGTAGGCAGGGACAAGGGTCAGGGCTTTAGAAAAGGGAGTAAGCAGGTCAGTGGAATGGCCTGGCTGAGCAGGGAGGTAAAGACGGACAGACAGGAATGGGCTAGCACTCGCTGGGCTGGTGTCTCAGGGCTTGGTTTAGGTCAACAAGTGTTTGAGTCCCCTGTGGGACCGCTATGGTGCTAGGCTGGGAGTGGCAAGAGGGGGTGAGAGGAATGAGCCCTCACTGCCCTCTAGGGAGGTGCAGTCTCTTGGAAATACAATGTGGAAAATGCAGCGACTGGTGTGCCTAGGGCAGGTGGGCACTGTGGGCAGGGGAGGTGGGTGTGGGGGCTTCCTGGTGGGTGACACCGTGAGGAGCTTGAGCAGTGACAGCAGGAGGAGGTGCCCCAGGCGGGGAGGTGAGAATCAGTAAGGTGCCCCACTAGGGGCCCAGGACGCTGTATGTGCTGTAGCCCTGTGAGGAGCCCCGTCACCAGGCTTGTTGGTATTTGTTGGTAAAGTTGTGATGTGTAAAAATACCAGCACAAGTAACAGTCTGTGTGTGCTGGGGTAAAACGCTTTCATTCTTCCTGAAATTTTGACTACACACTCACGGTTTTGATACGGAGCCCTGTCTGAGAAGGAGGACACACAACGTGCCCATTACTAAATAGGCAGAGCGGGCGCGGCCCCAGTGGCTGTCGCCTTCCGCTTCGGTCGCCGTGGCGGCGAGAGGCGAGGAGCCCGCGCCTGCATGCGCACCCCAGCCCATCCCACGGAACACACTCAGCACACTTGTCATTTCCTGAAGCATGAGTCCATTCTGCTGACTTCAAATAGGAACAAAATTCAACCTTCCTGAAGCCCGGCATGGCGTGAAGGTCAAAGCAAGCACTTTAAGCCCTCCACCGAGTGCATGAACATTTCAGCGGGTGCGCTGGCAGTCATTGTGAAAGGTGCTTCCCTCCTCCTTTGAAAATGATTTCCTCCTCCTATACAAGTTTATTTTTCTTACTAGTCAAACACAATATTCCATTGCTCAGTGCCTTTGGCAGTATAAAGTGTTAGCCAGATGAGTCACTGGCATGCCAAAAGCACCTTTATTATTTAAGTAAAGTTTTATTGAAGTGTAACAGAGAGGTGCACAGATCTGGCTCTCCAGCTGGATGAATTGTCACCAAATGACCACACTGCTGGGACTGCCATCCAGATCAGGAACAGACAGAACAGCCCCAAAGCCCGCCAGTCAGTGTGCCCTCCCAAGGATGGCTGGCACCCCGACTTGTAGCAGCAGAGATCCCTTTAATGCATCTTTCGGCGGCACATGACAGGAATCCTACGGCACGTGCTTGTCTGTGTTCGTCTAATTTGTTCAGC